GACATACTGACACACACACACACACACACACTAACACACATACACTAACACACAAACACACACACACACATACACTAACACACAGATGCACTAACACACACACACACAAACACACACATATACAAACACATACACTAACACAAACATACACTAACACACAAACACACACACTGAGGCACATACACTAACACACACATACACTAACACACACATACACTAACACATACACACACACACACTAACACACATACACTAGCACACTAACACACATACACTAACACACTAACACACACATACACTAACACAATAACACACACACACACACTAACACACACATACACCACATTTTTTTTTTTTAATGTAATCCCCCAGCACTCCTTACCTTTTGAGTGCCCAGGGATTCAAGGAGTCCATGGTACTGCTGGGCTCCTGGGCGGGAACAATTAGGGCAGAAGAAGCGCGAGGGAGCACTCAGTGCTTCCTCTTCAGCTCCCTCGCGCGCCGCGTAGGGATGCCGGCGCCGGAAGATGACGTCATCTTCCGGCTCCGATATCAGTGCGGTGCGCGAGGGAGCTGAAAAGGAAGCACTGAGTGCTCCCTTGCGCGCCCGCCTTCCTGCCCGACCAGCCACCCACCCGCCGGAGTCAGCAGGGCCAGCCTCGGGGGAGCCCTGAGGTGGCCGCCTCCTGGGCCCCCCAGGGGAAGACGCTGGCCCTGTGGGGATGGGGAAAAAAATTAATTGATGAGGGCAGCGGGGCCCACGGGGCAGGTGCCTCGGGCCCCCCAAGAGAAACTGGGCCCGGGGCAGCGTTTACCAGCGATTAAAACGACACAATCCACGTACATAGCGATGTCCTGGGAAGGGGAGACATGGCCCCCTCTCCCACAGCAGCCAGAGGTACCTGGTAGTGGACCTCATAGTCCTAGGAGGACCCCCAAGTGACAGGTGGACATGGAGTTGAGGTCTCTCTACCTGACGGCCCTACAAGGATGCTGAACAGCGGCCCAGATTTAGCAACAGCCTTTGCTGGGAGAGGAGACAGCGGTCTCCCTCCCCAACAGTGACCTGAGTTCAGGAGGAAGTGATGGTTGATCCCTCCACCATACAGCACCAAGCGTCCTGGGGAAGGAGACAACTGGCCTCCTCTCCAACAACCCGGAGATACCCGGGAGAGGTACCCCTGGGGTCTCCGCTCAACCCAGGGAGGATGCAACCCTAACTACATTGGCGCAGATGGGACCGCGGTCTCTGTGCCAGTACTACAGGGATGCGGACGGGCGGTCCACATCCCCAACCAACCCCGCAGGGATGCCAGGAGGAGGAGGTAAGCAAAACTTCCCCTCCCCAGCTACATCCCAACTGGGTCCTAGGGGCAGTGGATGAGCCTACGATACCCACTGACCCCCTCCCAGCAGCAGAGTTGGCATCTGGACAGAGCGCTGTAAGCCTCTGCCCCCCCTTTTCCCCGGGTCCAGAGCCTGGCTTACTACGGGGTACCCCAGCGGAAGAGCTGGCAGCAGGGCAGAGCGCCGCTGACCTCTGCCCCCCAAGCAGCACCAGCAGTTTGCCTAGCTGCACCAGGGAGACCGAGGGTGTTGAGCTGTCCCACTACAAACTTGAACCTACAGGCCAGTACTGGTTATCGTGGGGGGGCTACTCTGTTAATTTTTATTTGTGGGTGGGCTGCCTGACTAACCGGGGTACTGACAGACAGAAGGTCAGGGACCTGCGCGCCTGGAGAGGACTACTCGCCGGCCTCTTGCCTTGGGATTATGGACCCGGGGAGGTCTGGCCCTTTGAATGCTGTATGTGGGCTGGCCCGCCAAACAGACTTATTCTGGGACTAATGACTGGCAGCCCCGTCAGCCCCACTGGACCCGGAAAGGTCCAGTCATGTCTGCCGGAGCAGGGAGTAAAAGGGGGGGGGGGGGCGGAAGAATCACCCTCCATGCATTCGGTTATTTCCTCTCCCTGCTAGTTAAGTGTCTTTAAAGTATTCATTTTATTTCTGTGTTTGGGACATTTTTTCGTTCTACCGAATGTAGACCACCCTGGGTAGCAATCAGAACTTAGAACACAAAGTAACCACGAAAACCACAGAGTAATTGAGTGCTTATAGGTGGCCGCCATTCGGCATACGAACACGTGGTGAGAACAAAGGAGGGCGGCCATCTTAAACCTCCCAAACGCGGCCAGCGGGACTTACTTGTGGATTGCCTGGAACCATTTTCGGCATGGCAATAACACGAACATCCGGTCTCCATGGAAGTCCCGTCTGACCTATTGCCATTCACAGTATCAGACTGGCGTTCGGGAGTTTCAATCAATCGAATGAGGGGAGCATTCACATGTAACCAGATACTGTATAAGTGTGGTGGTTTTCAGGTAATTCTGCAGGAACGGAGACCGGCTCTTGCTTCCAATTTCATGGAACTCTAAATCGGATACAACCACATGGCGAGCCTGTCAAACTTCCACATGATGCGACACGGAAACTAGTGAACGGATTTTCGTGAAATTTGGATATGTTACTCCCAGTATCCTCAGCTACCCAGGGATGTGGTTTTTGTATTCCTATGTCATGTATAAAGTATAATTCTAACAATGTTGAAAATTGTTAATGTTTCTGGCCAGCAGATAATTGAGTTTAGTATGTTGCTGAAACTCAATTATCTAGCCTGGCCCAGAGGAGGAGTCTGTTACTGTATAAATTAAATGCCTGTTGCTTCCAGTAAATCAGTCTTGTTCCAGCATTAAGCTTTGGCTCATGTGTGGATTATTTGTAGATACCAGCGATCTTTATTCCTGTGGATTATTGTTATTATTCTGTTATTGGGAAAAAGAGAATACTGGACGGTGATACAGTTTACTACCGTCACATACGATAATCTCTGTATTGATACAATAATCTCTGTAATGATGTAATAATCTCTGTAATGATGTAATAAACTGTAACAATGTAATAACTGATAACAATACAATAATCTCTGTATTGATATAATAAACTGTAACGATGTAATAACTGATAATAATAAAATATGATGCAGTGATATTGGAGCTTGGAATGTACAGACAGAGTCTCATTGTTCGTGGCAGATGTTTTAGTAATTGTTTGTGTCAGTGTTACATTAGATCTTGTTACTGTTAGCTGGGGCCCTGTGATCTCAGCCTTCCTCCTGCGTTACTTTAGGTTGTAATAGATCCTTTGTATCTCTTTGCTTTCAGTTCATAACCTCTCAGTATGTTAATAGTGCCTCTTCTTCAAAATACCCCATCTCTGAATTGTCCTGAATATACCGGATAAAGCCAGATAACGTCAATTATCCTGAATATATCCAGATAAAGCCAGATAACGTGATTTGTCCTGAATATATCCAAATAAAGCCAGATAACGTCAATTATCCTGAATATATCCAGATAAAGCCAGATAACGTGATTTGTCCTGAATATATCCAAGTAAAGCCAGATAACGTGAATTATCCTGAATATATCCAGATAAAGCCAGGTAACGTCAATTATCCGGAATATATCCAGATAAAGTCAGATAACGTCAATTATCCTGAATATATCCGGATAAAGCCAGATAAATTCAATTATCCTGAATATATCCGGATAAAGCCAGATAAATTCAATTATCCTTAATATATCCAGATAAAGCCAGATAACGTGAGTTATCCTGAATATATCCGGATAAAGCCAGATAATGTGAATTGTCCTGAATATATCCAGATAAAGCCAGATAACGTGAATTGACCTGAATATATCTGGATAGAACCAGATAATGTCAATTATCCTGAATATATCCAGATAAAGCCAGATAACGTCACTTATCCTGAATATATCGGGATAAAGCCAGATAACGTGAATTATCCTGAATATATCCAGATAAAGCCAGATAACGTGAATTGTCCTGAATATATCCGGATAGAGCCAGATAACGTCAATTATCCTGAATATATCCAGATAAAGCCAGATAACGTCAATTATCCTGAATATATCCGGATAGAACCAGATAATGTCAATTATCCTGAATATATCCAGATAAAGCCAGATAACGTCACTAATCCTGAATATATCCAAATAAAGCCAGATAACGTCAAAATACCCCATCTCTGAATTGTCCTGAATATACCGGATAAAGCGAGATAACGTGAATTGTCCTGAATATATCCGGATAGAGCTAGATAACGTCATTTATACTGAATATATCCAAATAAAGCCAGATAACGTCAATTATCCTGAATATATCCAGATAAAGCCAGATAACGTCAATTATCCAGAATATATCCGGATAAAGCCAGATAAAGTCAATTATCCTGAATATACCGGATAAAGCCAGATAACGTCAATTATCCTGAATATACCCGGATAAAGCCAGATAACGTCAATTATCCTGAATATATCCAGATAAAGCCAGATAACGTGAATTATCCTGAATATATCCGGATAGAGCCAGATAACGTCAATTGTCCTGAATATATCCAGATAAAGCCAGATAACGTCAATTATCCAGAATATATCCGGATAAAGCCAGATAAAGTCAATTATCCTGAATATACCGGATAAAGCCAGATAACGTCAATTATCCTGAATATACCCGGATAAAGCCAGATAACGTCAATTATCCTGAATATATCCAGATAAAGCCAGATAACGTGAATTATCCTGAATATATCCGGATAAAGCCAGATAACGTCAATTGACCATGAATATATCAGATAAACCGAATAGCGTGTATCCTGAATATATCTGGATAAACCAGACGCGTCAAAATACCCCATCTCTGAATTGTCCTGAATATGCGGATAAAGCCAGATAGCGTCAATTATCCTGAATATGTCCAGATAAATGAATGCGTTAATTATCCTGAATATATCGGATAAATAACGATAATTATCTGAATATACCGGATAGAGCCGAATACGCGTCAATTATCCTGAATATGCCGGATAAAGCCAGATAGCGATCAATTATCCTGAATATATCCAGATAAAGCCGAATGCGCGTAGGTATCCTATACCGGATAAAGCCAGACCGCGTCAATTATCTGAATATATCCCGGATAGAGGCAGATAGCGTCAATTATCCCTGAATATACCCGGATAAAGCCAAATAAGTCAATTATCTGAATATATCCAGATAAAGCCAGATGCGTCAATTATCAGAATATATCGATAAAACCCGAATAATGTCAATTATCACAGATATATCGGATAAAGCCAGATAACGTCAATTATCACAATTATACGGATAAGCCGAATAGGTAATTGTCCTGAATATATCAGATAAAACCAGGCCGCGTGAATTATCTGAATATATCTGAGACCTGAATAACGTCAAAATACCCCAACTCTGAATTGTCCTGAATATACCCGGATAAAGCGAGATAACGTCAATTATCCTGAATATATCCAGATAAAGCCAGATAACGTCAATTATCCTGAATATACCCGGATAAAGCCAGATAACGTCAATTATCCTGAATATATCCAGATAAAGCCGGATAACGTCAATTATCCTGAATATATCCAGATAAAGCCAGATAACGTGAATTATCCTGAATATATCTGGATAAAGCCAGATAACGTCAAAATACCCCATCTCTGAATTGTCCTGAATATACCGGATAAAGCCAGATAACGTCAATTATCCTGAATATACCCGGATAAAGCCAGATAACGTCAATTATCCTGAATATACCCGGATAAAGCCAGATAACGTCAATTATCCTGAATATATCCAGATAAAGCCAGATAACGTCAATTATCCTGAATATACCCGGATAAAGCCAGATAACGTCAATTATCCTGAATATATCCGGATAGAGCCAGATAACGTCAATTATCCTGAATATACCTGGATAAAGCCAGATAACATCAATTATCCTGAATATATCCGGATAAAGCCAGATAACGTCAATTATCCTGAATATACCCGGATAAAGCCAGATAACGTCAATTGTCCTGAATATATCCAGATAAAGCCAGATAACGTGAATTATCCTGAATATATCTGGATAAAGCCAGATAACGTCAAAATACCCCATCTCTGAATTGTCCTGAATATACCGGATAAAGCCAGATAACGTCAATTATCCTGAATATATCCAGATAAAGCCAGATAACGTCAATTATCCTGAATATATCCAGATAAAGCCAGATAACGTCACTTATCCTGAATATATCCAAATAAAGCCAGATAACATCAAAATACCCCATCTCTGAATTGTCCTGAATATACCGGATAAAGCCAGATAACGTGAATTGTCCTGAATATATCCGGATAGAGCTAGATTTGTCATTTATACTGAATATATCCAAATAAAGCCAGATAACGTCAATTATCCTGAATATATCCGGATAAAGCCAGATAACGTCAATTATCCAGAATATATCCGGATAAAGCCAGATAATGTCAATTATCCTGAATATACCCGGATAAAGCCAGATAACGTCAATTATCCTGAATATATCCGGATAAAGCCAGATAACGTGAATTATCCTGAATATATCCGGATAGAGCCAGATAACGTCAATTGTCCTGAATATATCCAGATAAAGCCAGATAACGTGAATTATCCTGAATATATCTGGATAGAGCCAGATAACGTCAATTGTCCTGAATATATCCAGATAAAGCCAGATAACGTGAATTATCCTGAATATATCTGGATAAAGCCAGATAACGTCAAAATACCCCATCTCTGAATTGTCCTGAATATACCGGATAAAGCCAGATAACGTCAAGTATCCTGAATATATCCAGATAAAGCCAGATAACGTGAATTGTCCTGAATATATCCAGATAAAGCCAGATAACGTCAATTATCCTGAATATATCCAGATAAAGCCAGATAACGTCAATTATCCTGAATATATCCAGATAAAGCCAGATAACGTCAATTATCCAGAATATATCCAGATAAAGCCAGATAACGTGAATTATCCTGAATAAATCCGGATAAAGCCAGATATTTTCAATTATCCTGAATATATCCAGATAAAGCCAGGTAACGTCAATTATCCTGAATATATCTGGATAAAGCCAGATAACGTCAATTATCCGGAATATATCCAGAGAAAGCCAGATAACGTCAATTATCCAGAATATATCCGGATAAAGCCAGATAAAGTCAATTATCCTGAATATATCCAGATAAAGCCAGATAACGTCAATTATCCTGAATATATCCGGATAGAGCCAGGTAACAGGAATTGTCCTGATATATCCGGATAAAGCTTAAAAACATGAATTATCCTGAATAAATCCAGATAAAGCCAGATAATGTGAATTATTCTGAATATATCCTTGCCATCCTTTCATACGCACTAATATTATCCATTTTGGAGCATACACTCTCTAGAGGGGGAATGAGTTTGCTTTTCCAGTTGCCGGCCAGGGCTGTTTTGGCTGCTGTGAGGATGTTTATGATCACCTTTCTGTGAGGGTGTATGTATAGATCAGAGATGATGTGAAGGAGGTATTTTTCTGCGTGGAGGGGGATAGCAAGCTGCGTCTTGTGAGATATCATGGACTGGACCTGACCCCAGAACCCCCAAGCTTGGACAACTCCAGAACATATGTAACATAGTTCCAGTTTCTTTTTTGCATCTCCAGTACAGCTTTGTTGGGCCTGTGTACATGCGCGTCAGTTTGTGTGGCACCAGGTACCGTCTCATTAAAATTTTGCAATATGCCTCCCACAGCGAGAGACTCCGCGAGGCCTGTTTTGTGCTTGTCATTGCTGTCTGCCACTCCGTGAGAGGGAACTGACATTCCATTTCTTCCTCCCATTGTGTCATGTATTTCAGTTCACCTGTGGCTATGTTTGTTATTATCGCATTATAGCACAGGGAGAGGGGTTTGGTAGTTTTGTTGAGTATAAAGTGGCTGGGTGTGAGGGCTGCTGTGTCATTATTAGTGTTAGGTGGGATATCTTTCATACAGGTTTGTATGATATTCTTGACCCTTAGATAAAGATAAATATCTCTGGGCACCAGGTGCAGCTCTTTTTGAAGGACATGGAATGGTTTTATCTGATTCAGTAAGTCGCAAATCTGTCTCACTCCCCTCACCTGCCACCTCCCCAACTGCAGTCCTGGAGAGTATGCTTCAAGTGTTGCTATTGGTGCTGCTTTAATTAGTTGTGTCGGGTCTATCACCAGTGGACTCCAGTCTTTCCAGGCGTGTATTAAAGTCTTAGAACAATGCAACATAGGTTTCTTAAAGGTTTGGGGGACTGAACGTGTCCATAGATGGTGAATCAAGTTTTGTGTATCTAAGCATGCATTTTCGAGTGGTAGCCAGAGTGGAGTGTGGGTGACCGTAGAGGGGCGCAGTAATCTTATCCCTTGTGCTAGGAAAGTTGCCCTATAGTAAATTTTTATGTCTGGCAACCCCAGACCCCCTTTTGTATAGGGAAGCCCCAGGCATCCCTTAGCTACTCTGGGTGGTTTTCTTTTCCAAATGTGAGCATTTATGGTGCTTTGGAATTGTTTGAGCAGTGAGTTCGGGAGAGCGATGGGCAGGGTTCTGAAGAGGTACAATACGTGTGGGAGTGTCATCATTTTGATCAGATTGATGCGTCCTAACCATGATACCTCCAGATTCTCTCCAATTCTCAAGTGTTGCTTTGATTTTAGTGAGTGTCGGGTAATGATTCTCTTTGGTGATGTTCTTGTAAGTTGTTTTGGCAAATTTACTCCTAAGTATTGTAGAGAGGAGGTGGTGGTGATTTAGGATCCTTTATGATTGTGTGTTCGATTTAGGATCCTTTATGATTGTGTGTTCGATTTAGAATCGTTTATGATTGTGTGTTCGATTTAGGATCCTTTATGATTGTGTGTTTGATTTAGGATCCTTTATGATTGTGTGTTCGATTTAGGATCCTTTATTATTGTGTGTTTGATTTAGGATCCTTTATGATTGTGTGTTCGATTTAGGATCCTTTATGATTGTGTGTTCGATTTAGAATCGTTTATGATTGTGTGTTCGATTTAGGATCCTTTATGATTGTGTGTTTGATTTAGGATCCTTTATGATTGTGTGTTCGATTTAGGATCCTTTATTATTGTGTGTTTGATTTAGGATCCTTTATGATTGTGTGTTCGATTTAGGATCCTTTATGATTGTGTGTTCGATTTAGGATCAGTTGTACCTCTGATCTGGGATCTGTAATTTTTGTGAACAACGTGTCTGCTAGGAGAGCGGTGATTATAATATCCAGATGAATATGCTGCCCAGATGTGAATCTTCTAAATATTTCAATAAATGTAAATGGAAAACAGTAAGCACATGTCTAAGCATCCCCTCCATGAGGCAGAATACAATTATTCTATGGAAAACATTTGTTTTCTGACTGCAAAAACTCTTTCAAAGAAAGGGGGTGGGGGGAGTAAAATTTGCCTCTTTAGAATCTAGTGAGGCATCATTAATACTCCGACCCATTTTATATATTTAATTGAAAAATTAGGAAGTGGAACTGGTGGGGATTTTCTATGGGACTCTTCTTGTCATCATTACCAGCTTGTTTTAATCCACACAGTGTTTCATGGCTGGGGTTGTGCTATGGTTGGCGTAGACTAGAGCATTCACAATGTATTGGACAGGAGGCTTTTATAGTTCATGCAGCACATGTAAAAGCCAGCTGGAAACCTGGGTTCGTCTTTGAGGTGCTTAGATCCTGTTCTCATTTTTTTTGTGTGAATTATTAGGCAATAAAGCTAACTCAGTGAAGTCATTTGCTATGCCCCTGAATGTCTGGGTCGTGGACATGGCTCTAATGGAAACGACCTACCATATAAGAATATAAAGGTATTCCTTTATGTACATAGGAATCCAGATGACGTGACTTATGAAAAATTATACACTTTTGATTCGTAACCTAATTAAAGAACTGGGAAACTGAGTAGACAAACCGATCTGATGGATTGGTCTATTAAGATGAATTTCCTACCCAGGATCCTCTTTCTGTTCTAATCCCTCCCAGTTGTGATCATTAGACAAGATTTGGCAATAGACAAATGTGTAGCAGCACAAACATTATACCGTCCAAAATTGGTATGAGGCCTTGGATTGCCTCACCTGTATATTCACGATTTAGCCCAGATGGCTAGTGTAATCACTCAGGTGATTCCCTGATTGGAGAAGATGGGAGAGATCCCAAAAGGTGCTTTTACGAACAGCCTGAACTGCGCTAAACGTTGAGATGTTACTTATGTTCTCACTCACATCCACTACTTCATTGATGACCCCTATCCTAAGAAACAGAGTCTTTTTACCTGGAATGAGAGCTAGGTATTTTGGGGATTGAGTTGCAGTGATACCTGCATGTATATTAAAATAATGATCTGCTTTATGGAACTTCTGCAGGTGACTTGTTTATCTCCTGGTGATTATTTTACTACTTACAAATTAGGGACTTTGTATGGCAAAAATCAGTGATACAGACAGCCACTACCCTTCTTAGCTTTTTTAGAATCTCTGCTTAAAGGAAACCACACAGACATGATAACTATACCAACACCTGTGCTCCAACTTTCATGAAAGGGGGAAACTGGGTGCAGAGAGGAGATCTGAGAGGCTTGCTCCAAGGCCTCCATTATTGTGACGCTCCAGAAGCAATTGTGTAAAATATTGTTCCATTAATACACAACACCAGTCAAATTGTATAATATGGGTAGGTCCACCACAGATGTCTGTTGTTGGTTAACTAGAGAAAGAGGCACATGTGGTGGATTTGCCCTAAAGTCGGTTTTGGAGTGAGCAACGCTCTCTGGGTGCCAACATCTTTAATAGGCTACTAAACCTGGACCCCTTGGTTCTGCCTAGTCCCATGGAGAGAATTAACTCCCAAGAACCAAAGCTATTAAGCAAGATCACCCTATCGGCATTCTAAAGTGAACTTCTTGTTGACTTTTTCCTGAGAAACAGGGCTTTCTGTGAGGATGGAGAGCCCTAGTCTAGTCCTGGCAACAATTATCTTTACATTTAAATGACAACTGTCACCTCAAAACTGATTTAATATAATAATCTTTTCATTAAGATTTGAAAGGAAATAGATTTTTTTTAATGAAGCATATATATATAGATGTAAAAAACAGATACAATTTGTATCTTGTAATACCTTTTTTGTTGCATTAACAGAATTTTTTAATGACAAGCTTTCGGGAGATCCTCCCTTTCTCAAGTCTAAAGCATTTCTGAGCAAGAGGACACCATTCTCACAGTGGGTCGTAAATATCTTGTGTCTTATCTGCACTCATGTCCAGGGCCAAATTAAGAGCCCAGTGGGCCTGGTGCAGACAATTATGAGGGGCCTAAGTACAGAATCTTATCGACTAAAAACACTAAAACAGTCATACCTCTCAAGGGAAACTCACAGGATGCAGCTATAAGAAAACTCAGATTCTCTTAAAATATGCTAATCTCTCTCTAATTCATGCTCTAATTTCTAATAGTGCTGCTCTTACAGATGAACTAAATATGAAAACCTTATCAGGGTAATGACAGCTGCATAGTAAAATATCTATGCTAAAAACTCCTGACACTATAAATCCCCCTGTGCCTTCACGGGCACCTGCCGCTAGTCCCCCTAGGCTAGTGCCCCTAAGGTAGTGGCAAAAAATAGAATTAAATAATAAAATGATAAAGAAGTAAGCTAATCAATTCAGTGGCTCGGTTGCAAGTTTTAAATGCTGGTTACTAAATTATGAAGACAGCACGCTAAGACCCCTGACGCGGGCGTTTCGCCCGACCTGGCTCATCAGATGACAGATGTTAATCTGTAAGAGCAGCACTATTAGAAACTCTTAGAACTTTGCATTTAGTGATCCTAACTATAGGACCCTCTAATAACTAATAAATGCGTCTAATGATGCGCTCACTCCATGCATTATAAGGACTGTTTCCCCTAGCACTCACATGTCCACTTGTCTCCTTACCTTCTTACTAGCAGGCTGAAGCTCCTGGTATACAGTCTGGGACAGAGAAAAGCTGTATGTAGTGAGTGTAGAAGAAAAGGAACATGCCACAGTGTTAGAGAGACCAAAGTCAGCATTACCTAAACTAACTTTAATGTCAGCCAGTCCACACAAGTTTTGTTTCCATATATCCCTCTTAAATTTCCATTCTTAAAGGACCACTCTAGGCACCCAGACCACTTCAGCTTAATGAAGTGGTCTGGGTGCCAGGTCCAGCTAGGGTTAACCCTTTTTTGCATAAACATAGCAGTTTCAGAGAAACTGCTATGTTTATGAATGGGTTAAGCCTTCCCCCTAATCCTCTAGTGGCTGTCTCATTGACAGCCGCTAGAGGCGCTTGCGTGCTTCTCACTGTAATTTTCACAGTGAGAGCACGCAAGCATCCCTAGGAAAGCATTATGAATGCTTTCCTATGTGACCGGCTGAATGTGCGCGCAGCTCTTGCCGCGCGTGCGCATTCAGCAACATGGGAGGAGAAGAGGAGGATCGGAGGAGGAGAGCTCTCCGCCCAGCGCTGGAAAAAGGTAAGATTTAACCCCTTTCCCCTTTCAGAGCAGGGCGGGAGGGGGACCCTGAGGGTGGGGGCACCCTCAGGGCACTATAGTGCCAGGAAAACGAGTATGTTTTCCTGGCACTATAGTGGTCCTTTAAGCAAGAGTATGTAAAGAGTAGTTAGGGTTTTCACCTTTCTTGGAACAAAATACAGGCCTTACTAACTTGCATAACTAATTATGTATGGGTGACATCAAATGATGTAAATCACAAGTAGTGACATGAGAGAAAATTCTGTAAAATCAACCAAAAAACTACTTACAATTTGATTTTGTTGTATAGATGAACTGCTCCCAGTGTCTCCCTGTCTCCCAGTGTCCCCATGTCACCCAGTGTCTCTTCGTGTCTGTGTCCCCATGTCTTCTAGTGTCCCCATGTCACCCAGTGTCCCCTAGTGTCTGTGTCCCCATGTCTCCCAGTGTCTCCATGTCACTAGAGGAAACTGTGAGACATGGGGACACTGCGACACTTGGGGAAACTGAGGGACACTGAGACTATGTATCACAGTGTCTCAGTGCCCCATGTTGCCCAGTGTCCCCATGTCTCCCAGTGTCCCCTAGGTTCTCAGTGTTCCCAGGTCTCAGTGTCCCCATGTGTGTCTGTGTCCCTGTGTCTCCAAGTGTCCCCAAGTGTCTCAGCATCCCAGAGGTCTCCCTGTGTCCCCATGTCTCACAGTGTCCCCTAGTGTCTCAGTGTCCCCATGTCTCCCTGCTGCCTTTCCCCCCATCCCTCACTTCCCTGAGCTGTAGGCTGTCTCTGCATGCTGGAAGCTGCTGTCTGAACCCTCTGTGCTGTGTAGCTGCTCCCCTAGTGATCAGTGAGTAGTAGAGAGAGGCAGGGAGGGATATGCTGTAACTTCCTATCCCTGCCTGTCTCCACACACAGTGACCCCTACTGGCCGGTGCTGGTATTGCAGAGTAATCTCTGTTTATACTGAGAAAAATACCGGCATTTGAATTGCCAGTATTACTGCAATCAGGGCCCGCCTTAGGGGTGTGCGAGTTGTGCGGCAGGGGGCTCTATGCGACAAACACAGCTCACACATGGCTGGGTGACAGGAATGCAGGGGGAGTTAAAGCAGGTACCCGGGTGGAGGATTTCATTATTCTCCACCTGGGTCTATAAAAAAAAAAATTGAGGCAGCGGGGGCGGGGCTTACAGAGCAACAGGGCGGCACTTGTCACTAGGCGGGGCTAAAATTGCAACGGAGGCAGGGCTAATACCTACCAGAAGCCCCTGGTTAACTGCTGCACAGGAAGGGTGGAGCAGGAAGGAGTCCCTGCTTCCCCAACAGCCAACTGCCTCCACTCCCCCTTCCAGCCATAATGGAAAGAGATAAGTGTGTGTGTGTGGGTGTGGGTGTGGGTGTGTGTGTGTGACTGTCTGCCTGTGTGTGTATGTGTGACTGCCTGCCTGTGCGTGTGTGACTGTCTGCCTGTGTGACTGCCTGTCTGTGTGTGACTGCCTGCCTGTGTGTGTATGACTGTCTGCCTGTGTGTGTGTGACTGTCTGCCTGTGTGTGTATGTGTGACTACCTGTCTGTGTGTGACTGCCTGCCTATGTGTGTGTGAAAGTCTGCCTGTGTGTGTGACTGTCTTCCTGTGTGTGACAGTAACTGTATGAGGAAAGGGATTTAGGGGTGATTATTTCTGATGACTTAAAGGTAGGCAGACAATGTAATAGAGCAGCAGGAAATGCTAGCAGAATGCTTGGTTGTATAGGGAGAGGTATTAGCAGTAGAAAGAGGGAAGTGCTCATGCCATTGTACAGAACAGTGGTGAGACCTCACTTGGAGTATTGTACACAGTACTGGAGACCGTATCTTCAGAAGGATATTGATACCTTAGAGAGGGTTCAGAGAAGGGCTACTAAACTGGTTCATGGATTGCGGGATAAAACTTACCAGGAAAGGTTAAAGGATCTTAACATGTATAGCTTGGAGGAAAGACGAGACAGGGGGGATATGATAGAAACATTTAAATATATAAAGGGAATCAACACAGTAAAGGGGAGACTATATTTAAAAGAAGAAAAACTACCACAACAAGAGGACATAGTCTTAAATTAGAGGGACAAAGGTTTAAAAATAATATCAGGAAGTATTACTTTACTGAGAGGGTAGTGGATGCATGGAATAGCCTTCCAGCTGAAGTGGTAGAGGTTAACACAGTAAAGGAGTTTAAGCATGCGTGGGATAGGCATAAGGCTATCTAACTATAAGATAAGGCCAGGGACTAATGAAAGTATTTAGAAAATTGGGCAGACTAGATGGGCCGAATGGTTCTTATCTGCCGTCACATTCTATGTTTCTATGTGTGACTGTAACTGTGTGTCGCTGTAGCTGTGCCTTTGTGTGTGCCTGTGACCCTATGTGTGACTGCAACTGTGTGTGTGACTATCTGCCTTTAACAGAGTTTGTGTGTGCCTATCAGTGTGCGTGAGTGTCTGCCTGCCTGTAACCGAGTGTGTGTGACTGTCTGCTTGTAACGGAGTATGTGTGACTGTCTGCTTGTGACTGTGTGTGTGCCTATCTGCCTGTAACAGTGTGTGTGACTGTGTGCTTGTAACTGTTTGTGATTGTGTGCGTGCCTATCTGCCTGTTATTGTATGTGACTGTCTGCCTATAACTGTGTGTTTGTCTCTGTGACTGTCTGCCCTGTAACTGAGCAAGTGTGACTGTTTGCCTGTAACTGTGTGTGTGTGCGTGTGTGTGTGTGGAGCTGCAGCTCCATCAGCCCCTATGTTAATCCGGCCCTGATCATGGCGCTTTAACCCCTGTATCACAACTCAACTTTTAATTCTATGTGTCGTCTTTGCTCAGAAATGCTTTAGACTTGAGAAATGGAGGATCTCCCGAAAGCTTGTCAAAAAATTCTGTTAGTCCAATAAAAAAGGTATTACAAGATTAATTTTATCTATTTTTTACATCTACATCGCTGGACTAATACGGCTACAATCTTTTCTTGAACACTATATATATAGAACGAAAGTTCCTCAAAGAACTGAAACGTTGATCTTCTGTGGCAGATGCCGGAATAAAAAGCTAAGTTTTTTCACGATATTTTCGAAGTCCTTGGAGTGCTATCATTACTTTATTTATATATATATATATATATTACACACCAAGAGAGTTGTGGTGGGGAAAAAAAAGTATGGATGAAAACCCCTTCCACCTGAAGTAAGTGGATAGCCCTGAGCTGTGTTTTAAAGCTGTTGTATACAGCAAACACATACTCCAAGGAATCCATGTATAAAGTGGAATTGAGGCAAAAATGTGGTTCTTTGTTGAGCTCATTTGCATACACCTACCCAGAATCCCTTGCTGTAGTGAGAGCACAGTTAATGTGAAATTTCTGTGGGAAAAGCAAGTCTTATGTGTATTTGTGTTAAGGAATGTATTAACTATATATATATTTATATATATACTCCTTTAGTATATGACAGGATCGTCCAGCCACATACATACAGCTTTGGTCAGACAGTGTTGGAATTGAGATAGTTAGTCTCTATGGTCTTCCCTGCTTCACTTCCTGCACATAAGCAGAAAATACCATAGAGACTAACCGTTGACAGTGCAAGCATGAAACACGCTACTAACTTTCCAAAAGGTTTGGCCACCTTGAAGGTTTATCAGGCCCAACAGGGCCATTGGCTTGTGGAGGGATGTCCTTCACTGACCCCTTCCCTGCGGCAACTCTCTTTTTTTTGTTTTCCTTATTTTCCTTTTCCTCTCTCTTATTGATTCTATTCGCTCTCTTTATTGAAGGTTGTTTATCCTTCTTTACATTAACAAAGCAGACTTGGAGTGCAATATACTGTGCTGTACTTTGCAACCATCTACAGTATTGATGTCTCTGATTAAATAAAGAGTTTAAAATAAAAATTGGCAACAATGGGTTGTATTTATCAAGTTCTTCTGAAAGTGAGGCCTAATTTCATTATTAATTTTGCTCCCAGGCCCAGTAAACAATATACATATTGAACAATAGACACACAGCGAGAGAAAAGTGGGGAGAATTCATTATTTATTGGGAAAAATCCAACAAGAAGAGGACTTAGAATTAGTCCCCAATCACCTCTCTCCATTCTAGGAGCAGAAGAGAATGCTCCGGGTCCCTGCTAGACATGGCCTACGTTTTACTTCCTCTGACCAGATTCAACGATTGGATTTTATTTCATACTCATACTTTATCAAGTTTACCTAGATACAGTCTCTACAGGGTTTTTTTATGTCTTTTTTTTTTTTTTTTTTACAGAGTTGCCTTGATGTGTGAAAACCACATGGAAAACATTAAGTTTAATGGAAGGATAACTTTTTAATGAGAACATTTGTATTCAATCACTTCTGCTCCTGGTTAAAACACAGCAGATCAAAGAAGGTTTGTTACAAAGAAATTTGTTCTGTTTGTGCGGCTGAATGAAGACGTAAGACTCATGGCAAGCTGTTCAGGCAGATAAGGCAGAAAAACTATAACGGAGAATCCAGTACTCGAAGGAAAAGTAATGTTTCTTGTGAAAGCTATGTGAGTACTCATGGATGTAACTATGGAGATTAGAGGGGATACTGGGTACCAAGCTCGACATTCTATGGAAGCTCGGAACATACTGCTACCCCATCTTTACTCAGTGATCTCACAAGGAGCTTTGTCTCTGGTGGTACAACAGAAGAGGGTGAAGATACTGCCCCATAATGTCAACTCCAATCACCCAAATCTCCTGTAGAGGATCCAGAAGTAGAATAGAGTAGAGTGAGCAGGGACGGAGCTATTCTTTTCCACTGGATGGTATCTAATGATGGACCTAATACTTGCTACACTGGAGGACCATCCAACAATATTCTTGCTTAGGGCAACTTCCATCCTGTTAATCTAGAGGATTTTTAACTAAATTGCGAATTGTTGGGAATTGACCATAGGATTTCGCATTTTAAGACATAGTTTATTTAATAACTTTGACTGGTGTCTCCACCTTCCAGCAGGATGCCCCTCCGTTTGGTGAGAGAATGTGCTTCTGGCAATGCTGACGGAATGTCCTAACCCTTTAATTGTGTCTCAGGATTGACTTTGTTGTCATTATGCTCTTTCCTTCCTCAGCCCAAGCGCTGTACATTGAAATACACGCCAATACATCTCCACTCTCTGTGTATTTTTGTGACCCTGTTGAATGTGAGCAGATGTAAATTTGTTTTAGTGGCTGCATCTGATTGCTATTTCGTTGTTTGTGAAAGCCTGCTTCTTTCCATATTGTACAAGGTTCTAGCCAAGCCCTGATTCTCATTTCCTTTCAGCTTTGAAGGTCGGGATGTACACAATTACACTTTTCATTTTGGCAGACGAGATTGGAAAGAGTTTAGCAGAATGGTGTGTAGCCTAAATCCTGTGCAAAGACAGTCTATTTATTTATTAAACAAGTCTGATATCCCAGATCAAGTAAGAAAGGCCAATAATAATACTCTATTGTTTGATTAACAGCCTAGGAGGTTAACATAAAATGTGCCGATGAATATCGATTTGTATATAACGATTCTATTGTGGTTTTAGAATTGTCAGAATATCCTCGGAAAGCTAGATAAAACTGTGGCATTAGTAGATGTGTGTGTGATGACAGGTTTTTGGTATAATGGATGTGCATAGTGAAATCCCTAAGAGAGTTTCTTAATGCATGGGATGCCCACTGCTAGCGCGCATTTCTAGATACCTTTTTAAACTCTAGAGAACTATTTGACAGTATTTGGATCTGTATATAGGAAGAGTTCTGTAGTTTGATGAGGTTTCAGAGGTCATGTTGTGATACTTGTTGGACAATGTCAACAAGCTACTACAAACCACTATCGACATACGAAATGTTATGTTTGAGATAGGAGCAGAAGATCATCAAAAATGTTTAAATACACGACAAGAAATTTTGGATCTGTGAAATAATTTTTTCTGAAAATAGAAAATTTTACGTGACAGTCGAAATGCGTCCGGATGTCACTGGCTCATCCAAATGTAGTTTTGAAGCCAAATCTGAAGAAAATGGCCAATCAGTGTGTTGCAAAATATATAGATAATATCATGTTATTTACATCATTTAAATCTAAATTTTTATAAATGTGTATTGTATATATTTATAAAATAAGTGATTTATAAATATTTAGTTTGTACTGCTCCTCATTTGTTTCCTATATTGTTCCCTTCTCAAATGATCTGTGAATAAAATCAACATTTATTGCCCATCTCCTAGCTATCATTCAGATTTTTTCCCCACGAATCAGCTCTGTTACATAAGATAATAGATAAGTTAGAGGGAAATATAATACATTTTGTTCTAAATGAGGTATTTTTAAACAGTACATAAAATATAAGATAATAGTAGGGGATGGTATAAGAGCACAGATTAAAGTTTGGGTAAACGGGACATTACTCAGAATAAGTCCCGAGCTTCCAGACATGAAATGGACAATAATGAGCATTATAATAGACTTTATTATGTGGTTCAGGAACTTGTGTGATGAGGAAAGAATTCGATTTATGAAACGAGGTGTTCCTTTCTGAGGGAAGAGTGTGTAGCAGGGCTGGCCATTGGCCATGGCGAAGCGTGACTGGAACAAGTAGCAAGTTCTTGCATTTTTATGACAAATTATTTATATACGCTAAGGGCCATGAAGTGACTCAAAAGGAAGGTGAATGGTGTTTATAGACATTTTCTTGGGAAATTAGGCCAGCTGAACCTGACGAACACAACTTGCAAAAAAAAAAAAGTCTGAAAACCAAGGCTTAAATGGACATTAAAATGTACGTATAAATAGACAAAGGCACCATTAACATTGCGTTCTTCCCTGTTTGAGAATGTTTCACAGGTGCCACCAGTCCAGTAAAAACAGCTGTAGAATTCCTTTCAAGGTTGAGCTGTGGTCACAAAGTATGGGTGGACATTGCAAGTCTGAGGACTTCTCCATTGACTATGGTTTGAGGGCAGAATTTCAGGGTTACAGGGGTTTGCAGCGTCAGATGCGACAGTGACATCACACCTGCCCCCTGTTAAAAAGGTGTTTTTACTCCCCTTATTTCCAGCACAATGCTGGTCTCGCGGCAGCTCGCCCTACTTTGCGTCGTTGCATAGAAACATAGAATGTGACGGCGGATAAAAACCATTCAGCCTATCTAGTCTTGCCTAATGGTTGTCCAGGTTTATTATTTCCAAAATCTGGTCACCCTGCCCATAAGGCTTTCAAAGCTTAGTGGGAGTTACAGTTCTACAGCTGGATTTCTACCACAGTTCAAGGCTAGATGCAGGAAGTCTCCGACTGGGAGCCGCTGATAGGCCTATTAGTAGATCCCCATTCACAAAATGGCTTCACACCACAACAACTTAATGACAAAAGTGTTAGTGTGCCCGGAGTGTCTCTTTAATTTCTGGTTTCATTTTGAGGCTGGAGAAGTCAATATAGTTGCATTTTCAGTTGAATTTGGAGAAACCACTTGAAGCATTTGTTGGGTTGAGCTATTACAATCAGGGCCGGTGCAAGGATTTTTGCCGCCCTTGGCAAAAAAAATTTTGCCACCCCATTTGCTCCACCCATTCATGCAGACCGATATACACTGACTCAAGCAGACTGACACACACACATGCAGACTGACGCACACACACGTACTGACCCTCACACTAACACTGACCCTGGCAGACTGATGCACACGCACTGACCTGTGCAGACTGACCCTCACACACACTGATGAATGCAGACTGCCGCACACTCAATGACCCATGCAGACACACACATACATACTGACTCATGCAGACACACACTAACACTCTGACCCATACAGAGACACACATACAGACACACTCTGACCCATGCAGACACAGACATACAGACACACACTGGCCCATGCAGAAACACTGACCCATGCAGACACACTCTGACCCATGCAGACACACATGGACCAATACAGACACACACACACTGACCCATGCAGACACATACATTGACACACACTGACCCATGCAGACACACTGACCCATGCAGACACACTCTGACCCATGCAGACACACATGGACCAATACACACACACTAACCCATGCAGACACATACATAGATACAGACTGACCCATGCAGACACACATACAGACACAAACACTGACCCAAGCAGACTGACATACAAAAACACAAATTCTTTAAAACACACATTGTGATGTCCCATTGACCCTCTTACCTTTATTGCATTCCATATTGTATGACTGCTTTTCATGTGTCCACTGCGCCTGGCTGCCTTCACTCTGTCTCAGAAATTGAAGCGCACTTGCGCTGTTGCGGCAATGGGGGTCTTTGTAGGGGGCCTGGCTGAGGTGGATGCCGCCGAACCGGTGTTATACCCAGGGCCGTCTTTAATAACGAATGGACCCCGGGCAAGTGTTTGCTTGGGCCCCCTGTGCCCTGCCGCTCTCGCCCCTCACTCCCTGGTATGCAATCACGGCATCCATCCCAACGCAGTGGCGGTACTAAAGTAGAATGAATTTTATTGGGACCCCCAATTGCAAGGTTGGACTAAAGGTAGAACCCCATCTGTCGTGCAACTCCAACAATGCTTTGACAGCTGGGACTCTACCAATTTCCCATGCTTGCAGGGTTGTATTTAGCACTGAGCCATGTTAGTATGTTTGAATGTAAGCATGTGTTTGTATGGAGTATGTTTGTGTGAATGTGTTTGTATGTGGTACTGGAGTTTGAATGCAAGTGTGCATTTATGTGTAGTGTTTGTTTTTGAATGTAGGAGTGTGCTTGTATGTAGTGTTGACGTTTCAATGCAGGAGTGTGTTTTATATGTAGTGTTGAAGTTTGAATGGAGGGGTGTATTTGTATTTAAAGTTGCGGCTCAGATGCACAGGTACACACTCTGACGCACAAGCAGATACACAGATACATACACTGACTACATACAGATAAACAGGCACATACACTGACAGACACACTGACACAGGTACATATATTGACACACACACAGACACATACACTGGTAGACGTACTGACAGACATACTGACACAGGCACATATACAGACATACTGACACACAGACACATATACCGACATACTGACACACACACACAGACACATACACTGATCAACATACTGACACACATACACTGACAGAAATACTGACACCCACACACTGACAGATATACTGACACCCACATACACTGAGAAATACTGACACACACACACAGGCACATACACTGACACACACAGACTGATATACTAACACACACACACAGACATACTGACGACTGACAGACATACTGACACATACACATACTGACACACACAGATATACACACACATATATACTGACACACAGACAGACATACTGACACACACACACATGCTGACACACACACATACACTAACACACATACACACACACATACACTAACACACAAACACACACACACTAACACACAAACACACACTAACACACACATACACCAACACACATACACACACATACACACATACACACACACATAACACATACACTAACACACATACACTAACACACACACACTAACACACACACACACTAACACACACATACACACAACACACAACACACACACACACACACACACACATACACACACACATAACACACACATACACAAACACACACACTAACACACACACAAACACACATTTTTTTTAAAAAATGTAATCCCCCCAGCCATCTTACCTTTTGGAGTGCTGGGGGGATTCCCTGGGGTCCAGTGGTGCTGCTGGGCTCCTGGGCGGGTGGCCGGTCGGGCAGGAAGGCGGGCGCGCGAGGGAGCACTCACTGCTTCCTCTTCAGCTCCCTCGCGCGCCGAGTAGGGATGCCGGCGCCGGAAGATGGCGTCCGGCTCCGGCATCAGTGCGGTGCGCGAGGGAGCTGAAGAGGAAGCAGTGAGTGCTCCCTCGCGCGCCCGCCTTCCTGCCCGACCGGCCACCCGCCCGCCGGGGTCAGCGGGGCCCACGGGGCAGGTGCCTCGGGCCCCCCAAGAGAAACTGGGCCCGGGGCAGCTGCCCCGTTTGCCCCGCGTTAAAGACGGCCCTGGTTATACCGGGCGCTAGTCAGCAGCCATGTAAGTGCTCCCTAACGCCCGGTAACATGGCCGGCGGCATGGTTTGTATTATTTTTACAACATAAAAAGGTGGCCAAACAAGCAGAGCACTGAAGCCACTACCTCCCCTCCCCTCCCCCTTAAGCAGCGCCCTAGGCGATCACATAATTGGCCTATAGGAAGAGCCGGCCCTGATTTCAATTGCTTTTGTTTTGTTTATTGCAAACAGCTGTAAAGTCTGTAAATTTTGACAATAGACCTAATTTTTAATGGGGGTTAAACATTAATTACTCTTTTAATAAAAGTATGTATTAAAAACCAGTAAGTACTTCGAAAATGAATTCTGTCGGTTCGTTCAGACATCCTTTTCATTCCCTGCTCTCTGTTATTTGATTGCTACAGCTAACTGAATCGGTCCCTTTGAAGACAGGACAGCAAATCCGAGACGTTAAATTTCAGTGATGTGCAAGTTTAGAGTAAGAATGTATTTTACAGCGAACATTCCGTCACAGGAAGGACCCCAGTGAAATGGCACTGATATATGTGCTTTCCATATGTTACCATTAAATAGGATACAGTAATTATGTAACAAGGTGCAATGGATGCCCTGCCTCTCCTAATGCTTCCCATCTGCTTCTCTCCGTTTATTTACATCACTAGTTACACAGCGAAGGGACGAAGCCCTTTCTGTAGGATAGAGGTTAAGTTATTAATATATTATGCTTGTGGTGGAACCAACCTCGCCACTGTGCACTGGAGGAGCCTGGTTGCTCACATGCTCCCTTTAGACTATGGCCCGGCATTTTAAAACCTTTTATTTTCCCTGCAGAAAGGCTTATTTGTGCCTTTCTGCCGGGGTGTTCGGTAGATCCAATCTACCAAACAAAGTACCAAACGATTGACCACCTGGGAACTGGAGTGTGCCGTCAATTGGTCGCCCAGAAGCTGCGGTTAACTGCCGCTTAATTGACAAACGCTGGGTGGCATTTGTTCATTTGCCGAACACGTGGCAGTGGCCATTAACTCCCGAACGGCCACCGGTGTTCAGTGCCCAAACTATGGAACTGGAAACGGACACTTATTTGCGCGAACACTGCTGAGCCGCCAGCCTCCTTACCTCTGCATTCGGTAGTATAACCGAATGCCTGCTCATTCGGTAGTTTAACCTTATGAACAGCATCACCCCAGATAGCCAGGCCATGGAGCCTATTCGTGTAATGAAAGACTATGGGAAAGACTTTGGCTCCATGGCAATTGAACTGTACAATGTGATCTGAGCGCCATTCGGTAATAATGTGCGCTCAGATCTAAGCTATCTGGGGATATGTAGAATGTATGTGTTTTATTCATTATTCGCAACATTGGGTATTTTTGTGTCTTTTTACTTACATGTGCTCAATGGAGTTTTGCCTCTGTCCTGGGAGATAATTGGATTACTTCCCAATTATCTCCAGGATAGAGAGGAGGGATTGTGATGTAATTCTGGGAGTGTTTAAAGGTGTATGTTTGTGATTGGTCAATGTCCAAATATGTTTCCCAGTCTTCCATCTGGTCCCCTAGTGGAGTGTCCACCAGGTGGGAGACCTGCATAAAAGCCGGGCATGCAGCCCCAGTTAATGAGTTCTGCTTGACACTCAAACGAAGTGTCGTCTCGTTCTTGGGGGGAATTGGATTGTATGCTGATTGCCAGGTGTGTAAGCTGATTGTATGCTTTTCCTGTTCGGCTGTTTCCATTGTTCGTGTGTTTCCTGTTCGGGAGTTGGAGGATTCGTGTAGTTTGCAGTTCGGGAAATTGGTGCTTGCAGTAGCTGCCTGTGTATCTGAAACGGGAATATCGCCTAAACGGTTTTTAACCTCTTGTGTGCAAAACGGTCCGTTACAATGCTGCAGGGGACTTATTCTTTGTATCTGCTAAATATACACACATGAGCCGAGCACATTGGATAATAAATTGAAAAACGATCAGCATAAACATATATCGATATTAAAACTAACCAGTCCTCAGTTTTTTTATTTGTTATAATTCTTTATTTTTGTAGTGCATTGTTATTCGCTCTCATGTTAGCAAGAACATGTCAATGTATAACATTATAACATCAAAAAGTGTAAGTAATCATTTCTTCAAACATGTCAGAAGTACTGCACAATTTAAAAAAAAGTCAAGAGTGCGGGTTACTTATAAAACTGTCTAATGTATAACAAGGCATACGATGAAGCGTATATGGTAAAAACAAAGATTAACGTAATTCCATGCTAGTGGACCTTTTGTCCTAAACTGAGGTGTGCTTGCTCTTATTTTACTTCCCAGTCTCTCTTCTCTTTAAGGCATATGCAGTGTTTGCCCATGGTTAGGTGCTCGATTGATAAAGTTATAGGCGTGCTGGGTGATGGAGATGATAACATTCGACAGTTGTTGCCCTTGTGTTCCCTGCATGTTTAGACTGTGCCTATATTTGTATTCCTGGCTAATCATGGCAGCATCACTTATGGGTAGCTCCTCCCTTAGCGGTCACAGGACAGGAATTAATTAGATTAATTAATCAGACTGATAGGTATAAAGAGTCCCTCCTCCCCCTACACCTCAGTCTTTTTTCCTGTCCTTAGCAAGTTTTACAGGACCTTTTTACTTTTAATTTTATGGCCACCTTCCTGCGTTTGTCGTGGGTTCGTTCCAAATGAAGTTCAGCCTCTCTTCATTTGAAGGGTCCAGTAAACAGCCTGCATGAGCAGGACTAACTGGGTCAGGTTCAGTGTAAGTACTGAACTGCAGCGTGGGAAGTAAGTGTTTGAGGGAAACACTGTTGTGTTTGTTTGTGGGGTTGGTTTTGCCTTAAAAATTCCCCTGGGTTTTAACCTGCCCCTCCTTATTGGGGCCATTTATTCCCCCCCATGCTTAAATGGCAGCCTTTGAATCCATACTGGGCGAACTACTGTTTCTTGGCTGCTTGGTGGAACTCTAGTGATTTAAGGTAGGATTTCTAATTTTGCTGATTAGAAGTTTCTTTCATCAGCTTGCCTCTCATCAATTTGTGAATTTAGGTGTTGATTTTCCTTTGGTCTTTTTTATAGTATGGATTCTCCCTCTGCCTCTGCAAGATCCCTCTCTAGAAAACATAGGTGAGCCATTTTTAAAATGTATAGGGGGTTGTTAAAAGAGTGCCATACTAAGCCTGTAATATATGTCATATATGGCTTTATTCCAGTCCCAGCATTCATTTGGATTCTCCAGCAAGAAAATCACAGGAAAAGTCTAATAAATGCATTAATTGTTCATCGCCTGCTCCGAATGGAAGGAATCTTTGCAGGGATTGCTTATTGGAAGTTGCAGACGCTCCCGGTAGGGGTTCTCCACAGGACAACCTTAAACTCTGGATTTCCCAGGCTATTGCTGAGGGCTTTAAGGCTACCACGGGATCTAGTGGTCAGAGTAAGAGACGTAGAGCGGAACCTCAGTCTTCCAGCTCTGATGAGGACCCTGATGTGTGGGAGGTCTCGGATGAAGGTGAGGAGGAAACTGAATATACCTCCAGGTCTCTTGACTCCAGGTCTGTTGATAGACTTATTACCCTTCTCAGAGACACTCTTAGTCTCACTGAAGAAAGATCTGAATTGAAGGAGGCTGACAGGTTTTTTGAGGACCTAAAGCCTAACAGACCTATTTTCCCGGTGCATAAGTCAATCAGGGATGTGATCCTTCAGGAATGGAATAAGCCTGAAAAGAAGTCCACCTTAAAAAATAAGTTTGCGAGGGTTTATCCGTACTCTGCAGTGGATTGCTGCCTGTGGAACTCAGTTCCTAAAATTTACGCTGCAGTGATCCATGTGGCTAAGAAAACTACACTGCCTATTAACTCCATGGCATATCTCAGGGAACCTATGGAGAAGCGTATGGATGGAGACCTGATTAAAGCCTACTTGGCCCTAGGGTCCGCCCTTCATCCGGCAGTGGAACTGACGACTCTTTCCAGAGCCTTGAAAGTGTGGCTCGCTAATCTGAAGGACGACATTGATCAAGGTGTCCGTAGGGAACATCTGTTGGAAAGCCTCAAGGTCTTTAGTCTGGCCACGGAATTCTGTTCAGAGGCCTCCCTGGACATCACTCGCATGATTGCCAAAAGCATGGCCCTGTCTGTGGCTTCTAGAAGGGCCTTGTGGCTTCATTCGTGGGGTGCTGACTATGCTTCTAAGGCTTCCCTGTGTGCACTTCCGTTCCAGGGGGATCTCCTTTTTGGGAAGATTCTGGAAGATGCTATTCAAAAAGCTGCTGATGGGAAAAAGGCGTTTTTACCTCAAGCTGGCAGGAAGAGTTTTCCCTCCTCCTGGAAGACCAAGCGCTTCAAGGATCGGTCCTTTCGGGACAGCAGAAGCTATAAACCAGGAAGGGAGTCTTCCAGGAATTCTTCATGGAAATCCTATTCACACTCATCTTCCAGTAAAGCTTCCAGAGGAAGGGGTGCTAGAACCCCAGGGAAGAACTTCTGAAGGTCTCCAGGCCCGTTCGGGGATGGTGGGAGGAAGACTGAAGTTCTTCTACCCCATATGGGCCAGCAATATTTCAGACCTATGGGTCACTTCCATCGTAAAAGAAGGTTACAGAATAGAATTCTCATCTCACCCGAAAACTGCATTCTTCAGAAAATCAAAGGTTCCGGTAGGCATCAAACGAAGGGCCATGAGGTCCTGCATTTCTGTACTCCTGGAACAAAAAGTGGTGGAAGAAGTTCCAAAACGGGAATGGTTCCAGGGAATTTACTCCACTTCTTGGCCCCAAAACCACAGGGAAAATGGCGTCTCATCTTGAATTTGAAAGGCGTGAACTCCTTGCTCGACGTAAGGACGTTCAAAATGGAATCCTTGAGGACCATCTTGAAGTGTGTCAAAAAAGGAGACTGGATGACCTCAATAGACTTAAGGGACGCCTACTATCATATTCCGATCCATCAAGATCATAAACGTTTTCTCAGGTTTTGGGCGCTAGGGGACTACCCTTTGGCCTCAGCCTGGCTCCAAGAACCTTCTCAAAAGTTCTGGTCACCTTGATAGCCTTTATAAGGGAGAAGGGTATCGAGATATTCCATTACTTGGACGACATTCTTATCTTGGGCCCATCTCAAGGAATTGTTGCTCAACATACGTCAGTGGCAATGTCCATTCTTCAAGACCATGGTTGGCTCCTGAACGTGGAAAAGAGCTCCCTCGTTCCTGCACAAACGATCATTTTCCTGGGTGCGGTAGTGAATACCGTGTCTGCACATGTGTTCATGTCTCCAGAAAGGGTCAAGAAGATCAGGGACAAAGTAAGGAAGCTACAAGATCTCGACACTGCACCAGCAAGAGAAGTCATGAGCCTCCTGGGTTCCTTGACATCAACAATAGGCTTGGTGAAGTGGGCCCAGTGGAAGTTTAGTCCGGCCCAGAACTGCTTCCTTCTCCAGTTCAACAGAGTGGAAGCGGATTGGGAACAGATGATATCTCTCCCCCTTCCCGTAAGGAAAACCTTAAACTGGTGGAAGAGCGAGAGGAATTTGACAACAGGCTTCCCGTTGGAAGACCCCCCTTGGAAGGTTATTACAACAAATGCCAGTTCTTTTGGATGGGGTGCCCACTTCAGTTCTGTATGGACTCAAGGGAAATGGACCCGAGAAGAGAGTCGCCTACACTCAATCTTAAGGGAACTAAGAGCGGTTTACAAGGCCGTTTTGAGATTCCTACCAAGGCTAAAGAACTCTTGGGTTCTAATCAAAACAGACAACTGAGCGGTGGCCTCATATGTGAACAACCAAGGTGGCACGAGGAGCAGGTTGCTCCTGGAAGAGCTGGCTCCCTTAATGGCTGTAGCCATGACGTATCTTCAAGGCCTGAAGGCGATTTATCTCCCAGGTTCGGAGAACGTAACGGCAGACTTCCTCAGCAGAAAGGAAATTCTTCCGGGAGAATGGCAACTTCACCCGGCAATCTTTGCAGAAATTGCTCATCGGTGGGGCATGCCCCAGGTTGACCTGATGGCATCATCTCAGAATCACCAGGTGGAGAATTACTTCTCTCTCCATCCGGACTATCAGGCACTGGGCCAGGATGCTCTCTCTCTCCCTTGGTCGTTCGATCTGGGGTATGCTTTCCCTCCCCTACCCATGATACCCAGGTTTGGTCGGAAGGCAGGAAAGTCATTGCCTTAATTCCGATTTGGCCTCGGAGGCCGTGGTTTCCCCTATTGGCCATGATGAGCCAGGAACAACCTTGGCCTCTTCCAGTGATGGAGGATCTGCTATCACAGGGCCCTGTATTCCATCCTCATCCGGATCGCCTCAAACTGGGGGTATGGGTCTTGAGAAGGAAAGACTCCAATTACTAGGTCTCTCAGAGGCAGTGATCAATACCCTTCTGCTCTCCAGGAAGGCTTCCACTTCTTCATGCTACCACAGGATCTGGGATGTGTTCCAAACTTGGGCATCCTCTCATAATGTGGACTTTCGGCATCCTAGCAATACTGAAGTTTTGGAGTTTCTGCAAGAGGGCCTGGACAAGGGCCTTAGCCTCAGCACCTTGAAGGTTCAGTCTTCGGCACTTTCAGCTCTGTGCAACATCTCGTGGGCTTCGGATCCTTTGATTTCCAGGTTCTTCAAAGCAGCCTTCAGATTGAGGCCTCCTTCCAAGTCCACTACTCCTCCTTGGGACCTTCCTATGGTGCTCAATTATCTCACTGAGGATCTGTTTGTTCCTCTTGAAAGTCTGGATGCTACTCTCCTGACGTATAAAACTTTGTTTTTGGTGGCAATCACTTCCGCAAGAAGGATTTCAGAAATTAAGGCATTTTCTACATCTTCTTCTTTTTTACGATTCTACCAAGATAGGGTGTGTCTGAAACCGAAACCAGAGTTTCTTCCTAAGGTAGTTTCTCAGTTTCACCTCTCTCAAGAAGTGGTTCTTCCATCATTTTACCCCAACCCTTCTTCTCAGGAGGAGCTTAGATGGCAACGTTTGGATGTCATGAAATGCTTGTCTGCATATCTTAAACGTTCTGAGTCTTTCCGTAAAACGGACCAACTCTTTGTTTTGCCGTTGGGAGCAAGGAGAGGTGAGGCGGCTTCTTTATCTACGTTGAAACGTTGGATTTCTCTGATGATTAAGAAGGCGTATATCTCTAAAGGTTTATCTCCACCTCGGGAAATAAGAACTCATTCTACTAGAGCATTATCAACTTCTTGGGCTAGCTGGGCAGAGGTTCCATACGATGATATTTGCAGAGCAGCCACCTGGTCTTCTCCAATGACATTCATGAAGCACTACAAACTCGATGTGGATTCTCCTTCCACCTCCTTTGGAAAGAGTGTCCTGTCTACGGTCTCTTTATCCAGTTGATAGTAAACTTTTCTTTGCTGCATGTGTTTCGGATTTGTGTAATTTTTGGATTATTATTCCCACCCTATATTTCTGTGAAGCTTGGGTATTACCCATAAGTGATGCTGCCATGATTAGCCAGGAATAGAGAAAATTTATGACAAACTTACCGTAATTTTCTTTTCCTGGCTATTTCTCATGGCAGCATCAGGGTTCCCGCCCTTTCTCTATTTCAGCTTTATAATTGGACTGAGGTGTAAGGGGAGGAGGGACTCTTTATACCTATCAGTCTGATTAATTAATCTAATTAATTCCTGTCCTGTGACTGCTAAGGGAGGAGCTACCCATAAGTGATGCTGCCATGAGAAATAGCCAAGAAAAGAAAATTACGGTAAGTTTGTCATAAATTTTCTCTATTGTTGGGCATGTGTTGGGAATCGCTTCGGTATGGCGATGTGGAGTCTCGTGTTGATGCGTCTAGTTTATGGTTTCTTTTACAGAGGTCCTGATATGTGTGCTGGTCCTGGGACCCTTGTCAGTCGAGGAGGTGTGTGTTTGGAGTGTGTACTCCCGCTCGGTATATTGGATTAGCCTCCCTTGCAGCAAATGCCCGGTGGGCCGCGATGGCCGTGGGGCCGAGGCCGGCAGAGGATCTCCCCGGCCGGCCCCTGCAGGGCCAGCGCTATCCGAGCGCCGGCCCTGCTGTGTGCCTCCATGGGCCGGTGGGGAGATCAAAGATCTCCCTCACCGGCCCAGAGGCACTGTTACATGCGGCCGCCGGCTGGGTGAGGGAGGGAGGCAGGAGAGAGGACCGGCGGAGCTCTAACAAGCAGCTCCGCCGGGTCCTCTCGCGAGATTCTGAGCGTTGCCGCGGCAACGCTCAGATCTCGCGAGAGTGAACTCTAACCTACAGGTTAGAGTTCACTCTCACCACTGGACCACCAGGGAAGGCAGCATGGCTCCCCTCAAGGCTCCCAGGCAGAACGGCTCCCTCCCCCTCCCAGGCTAAAGGTAAGAAGGGAGGGGGGGGGGACATAACTTTAAAAAAAATTATTAATAAAAAAAATATATATATTAAAATTAATTCCCAAACAGCACCCCCAGACACACACACACAGCACCCCTAGACACACACACATACCCCAGACACACACAGCCAACTCACACACAGCACCCATACCCCAGACACACACAGCCAACTCACACACAGCACCCCCAGACACACACACAGCACCCCAGACACACACAGCACCCCCAGACACACACAGCACTTTAGATACACACAGCACCTCCAGACACACACACAGCACCCCCAGACACACACACAGCACCCCCAGACACACACACAGCACCCCAGATACACACACAGCACCCCCAGACACACACACAGCACACCCAGAGACACATATACATATATATATATATATATATATATATTATATATATTATATAAAATAACCCTCAGTGAGTTAACAGACAAAGAAAATTAGAAACCTAGAATGTGACGGCAGATAAAAACACCCTAACACACAGCACCCCTCTTACACAAACACACTGCGCACCTCACACATACAATACGCCCAAATATATATATATACACACACACTACAGCACCCCTCACACTGCACCACTACACACATTACGCTCCAGATACACGCTAGATCCCTTACCCTATATGCACTCTTAATCCTCTACACACACACACACACAATCTTCTATACACACTCTGGGTCCTTTACACACTAGATCTCTTACACACACACAGTGCACCACCTACACACACACTACATTCCTTGTAAGCAAACACATACAACATTCTCTAAACACACCCTCTCTACAACCCCTACACACACTACGTCACCTATACACACACACTTCAGCCCGTATGCACACACTCGCTACATCCCCTATAACACTATGCCCCTATACACGCACTCTCTACAGCCCCTAGCCACACATATTACACCACACCAAAAATTGACCTATTTACACAATACCACACCACACTCTACACACAGGCAATCCCACAAGCATGCGCCAAACACATGCACCATACACTTTCCTTGCCCTTTTGTCCTCTGGTATCCCACTTGTGGAGACACCAGAGACAATTTAAAAGCAAACACAGCGCAAGCATGTTATTACATTTGCTTGTGCTGCGCAGAACAAATACAGGGCCTTTTTCTAATGATAGAGCTCTTCAGCGCAGCTCTGCGCATTGAACCAACATGCTCACTTTGAGAGGGGGCGTGTTGTCATTAGTGATGACAAAACACACCCTCTCTGGCCCCGCCCCCTTCTTGGGGGGCCGCTCTAATTGAAAAATGCCCGGGCCTAATTTTTTTCCCAGTCCGGCCCTGCTTGCAGCTATGTGTTGGTGTGAGGTCTGCTCTTCCTAAATGGGGGTAACCAGTCCTCAATTCAATATTTCTTTAGTGATGATTTCATATTATTGGATAAACTTTTGAAATTATAGTTTTTTGAAAATATTAAGATATCAAAAAATGTATTAATATAAAAAAATCCAGATATTCAAATATTTTTCAAGATATTCAATTATTTGAAACCTTTAGCCAAAAATATGAAATGAAGGCTGTAATTCTCAGTGTTCACATTGATAAAACGTATATACGAAAATTCACTTTGTCACAGTTACTTCATTGTACATCGCTGGAGAACATGCTGGTGATTTATCAATAATTCTAATATAATGATAATGTCAGCAGTACTATACAAATAAACATAGTATTAACAACAAGAAAATGGCATTAAAAACGTTTATCCTGTGTTTTGTAATGTGTCTGTCTATTCTTATCTCTTTTAATCTTTTTCCATCGTTCTATATTTGTCAATCTATAGTTATCCAGATTTATCCACCTGATCTGTCTGTCTGTCTGTCCTCGAAGTGCAGTCCATGAATGATCCATAGGAGAGGTCCAAACAATGACAATCAAAAAAAAACAACACCGCAGAATCCCCCAGAGACATTCTCAAACTTAATTTTAGTTTATTTTGCAATTTTAACTTAGATTAAAATATTTTACACTTTCATGTCACCTAGACTAGCAGAGTTATTCACTAAAAAGTGTGAACTGGCAATCCGATGTGAATTCAAAATGAATTTAAAAATTTAGGTCTAAATACTACATTAAATGGCCAGTGTTTACTATTAGAAAAGTTAACTATTGTTAAAAAAACAAAAAGCTCCAACATATTCCATAGCGCTGTACACAGGGTAAATGGAACATACAGGTCAATTCCTTGACAAGATTTAACATTTACTGGACACATTTTTTCTTATTATTTATTTGTTCATGTTTTTTAGCCTCTTTCCCACAGAACTGGAAAAATCCACCTTGGATATTAAATTACCAACATTTCCTTAGATCATACCTCCTTACTGATACACAAAATGCATCTGTGCGAAAATAATCCGTTCAGAAGCCGAGGAGGTTTGATGAGTTAACCAGACCAGGGATGCAGAAAGAGTTCAAGAGAAGTATTAATTTCCAAATAAAGATTCTTTGCGATGGCCCTTAATTCTTCCGTGTACTGGTTTACCCATCTGTGACAGTTTCACAGCTTGTTCTAAATCTCACATTTACCCAGCCTTGTGATCTCTAGCAGAGAATGCAAAACACAAAGTAAATGCGGCCTGTGATTTAGAGGCTGGGCGTGAGTCTGGCCGCGGGGAGCCATGCCTTTTCCCCATCTGCAGTAGAAGGAATGGCATGCGGACCCCATCACAATGGTAAACCAATTAGCTGCGCTAACATCTCCAGCAGACACCGAAAACGCGCGGCCCTGGCTCACAGCAGTGCGTTTGGAAGTCATGTGATTTGAAAGCTACACAGCAGATGTCGACAAGCAGCAGAGGACTTGCAGATATTATATATATATTTATATATTTAAAACAGATATACTTTTATTACTAGGTATTAATCCCTCAACAGACAATTATTTAAGTAAAAAGCGGGACCAAAAATTACTAATTTAGCTAATATGACGTAACATTTGCCAATACTTGCTGCTGAAATAGCTCTCAGTTTTGACAGAGTGTATGTAAAGTATTGGAAATAGAGATGTTAGTATTGGTTCATTCAATAATGATCACATGTTCACAAAGTTACCAAACTTTACTTAGAATATAATCTAATTATTAAACTTTATTTATAAAGCACCGATATATTCTGCTGGACCAGGGGTTCTCAACCCAGTCCTCAAGGACCCCCTGCCAGTCCAGGATTTAGGGATTACCTGTGTGAGTCTTAGGTGTTTAGAAAAAGAAAAAAAGAACACCTTTGTCCTTGGGGACTGGGTTGAGAACCCCTGTGCTGGACTGTCCACGAGCTCAAATAAAAAGACAAAGGTTCAATACATCTAAGAGTCAATGAAAAATGTGATAAACAAATAGAGGAGACATGGAGGGTCCTATTCCCATTTTGCAATCTAGATAATGTAAACCCATGCTGTACATTGTAACTAAGCTCTATTGGCTGTGATCAATCAGACCGTCTGATCCCACGCAGCCAGCAAACCTCGCTTTGAAAAAGGCTGTAATAAAACGTTACTAGTACCTCAAATTATTACATACACAAATATCAAACAATGTTTTAATAAACCGGGAAAAGGAAAGAGGAAGTTTTTATCCTTGAAAAAAGAACACAAAGACTCTTTTTCTTTACGTGAGCTACCCGTTATTTAACTCCTTAAGGACTGGACTGTTTTGGCCATGTTGTACATTAAGTACCAGAGCGGTTTTAACACTTTTGTGGTGTTTGTGTTTAGCTGTAATTTTCTGCTCTCTCATTTACGGTTCCCATACAAGTTATATATTGTTTTTTTCAGGACAAGGAGGGCTTTCTTTACATACCATTATTTGTATCATGTCATATATTTTACTTTAAAAAAAAATAAAATAAAATATGGTGAAAAATTGAAAAAAAAAATACATGTTTTTGGACTTTTAATTGAAAAATCTTTTACTTATTTACAAAAGCTAACACATTCGTGCGCGCCGGGTGTGCCTAGGCACACCCTAATCCCCGCGGCACGCACTATGTGCCTCCCTCCGTGGGCTGGTGAAAAGATCTCCCTCACCGACCCACAGGCAGGGAGGGAGGCAGGAGAGAACCCGGGAGCTCTTGTCAGCAGCTCCGCCGGGTTCCTCTCACGCGGTCGGAGCGTTGCCGCGGCTCAGATCTCGCGAGAGTGAACTCTAGCCCCACAGGGGGCTAGAGTTCACTCTCCACTGTACCACCAGGGAAGGCATGAGCACGGTCCCCCTTCCCTGCATAAGGTAAGAAGGGAGGAGGATATTAACTAAACGGCCCCCACACATTACACACAAACAGCACACACACTAACAGCACCCTTACACACAGCACCCTTACACACACACACTAACAGCACCCTTACACTAACACCCTCACACATAGAGCACACACTAACAGCACCCTTACACATACAGCACCCTCACCCACACACACAAAGCACACACTAACAGCACCCTTACACGCACAGCACCCTCACACACACAGCGCACCCACACTAACAGCACCCTCACACACACACACACACAGCAGTTTGTGTGTGTGTGTATATATATATATATATATATATATATATATATACACACACACACGTGGCGTGTGTGTTTCTGCTTTAGGGTGCACACCCTTATACAATAGGCTGCGCACGCCTATGAAAGCTAATGAAAAAAACTGCTAAATAGATTCAAAATTTTGTCCCGAGTTTAAAAACACACAGTGTTTACATGCTTTATTGCTTTTTTTGCAAGTTATAGGCCTATAAATACAAGTAGGAAATTGCTGTTTCAATATATATATATTTTAAATTTATCAATAGTGACATTGTAACACCGTTACACACCTCACATGTACATATTTTTTTAAAGTAGCAACCCAGGCTATTCAAAATGGGGTATATCCAGTCTTTTTTAGTAGCCACCGTGTCACAAACACTGGCCAAAGTTAGCATTTATATTTGTTTGTGTGTTAAAAATGCAAAAAACGCTAACTTTGGCCAGTGTTTGTGACTAATTGGCTACTAAAAAAGGTTGAACATACCTCATTTGCAATACCTTGGGTTGTCTTCTTTTGCAAATAGTATGCCATCATGGGGCTAATTCTCATTCCTGGGCTACCATACGCTCTCAAAGGCAACCTAGCCAATCTGACAAATTTCAATAAAAAAAAAATAAATAAAAAAAAGTAAAATCAAGCCTTATATTTGACCTTGTAACTTTCACAAACAATATAAAACCTGTACATGGAGGGCACTGTTATACTCGGGAGACTTCGCTGAACACAAATATTAATGAATCAGAACAGTAAAATGTATCACAGCCATAATATCATCAGTGAAAGTGCCGTTTGTGTGTGAAAAAGGCAAAAAACTTCACTTTCACTGACAATATCATCGCTGTGATATGTTTTACTGTTTTGAAAGACTAATATTTGTGTTCAGCGAAGTCTCCCGAGTAAAACAGTACCCGCTCTGTACAGGTTTTAGGGTGTCTTGGAAAGTTACAGGGTTAAACACAGTGCTAGCAAGTTAAATTCTCTGGACTTTCGGCCTGGGTTGGCAGGCAGGTCCCTCAAATTGCAATCATTAAAATTACTTACTTAGGTAAAAATATGACGTAAATACGCACGTAGAATTTTAATATATATACATATTTATATATTTGACGTCTACGTGTATATTTATGAAATTATTTATGTAATTATGTATATGGACATATGTATATTTCGTATAATTTTTATTTATTTATACATAGATATATTTATATATATCATTACATTTTAAGTGTATTTTGATATAAATATATATATTTGAATATCAAAATACTGTTAGAATAAAATGACATATATCATTTTTTTAATTATTAAAAATTATTAACTTTTTATTTATTTTTAACATTATTTATAATATATATACACTCACAATATATATATATAATTATATATATTGAATATATATACATGTGTAATTTAATTATACGTCTATTTTTATATTAATATACGTATATATAAATATAAAAATACACTTAGTATGACATTATATGATATATATACATACATATAATACATATATATATATATATATATATATATATATACACACACATACATACACACACACATATATTTTTTTTTTACACTGATTGCTTTATTTTTTAACTTTATTTTTGATTTTGCACTTGCAGGGAGACTGCCTGTCAGCACAGACAGTCCCCCTGCAGGCAGATACACAGGCACCTATTGCGGCCATGTGATCAAGTGATCACGTGGCCGCGGGGTCCTGATCTGCCGTGGGGAGACTGCCCAGGGCAGACAAGCAGTCCACCTGGACCAGGAGGAGTGCTGATCGCCGCCGGGGGACTGACAGCGATCAGGTAAGTAGCCCCAGACCGTTATGACGGTTCAGGACCGTCATCGTTCCCCAAGGGGATTTTAGCGATGACGGTCCTGAACCGTCATCGGTCGTCAAGGGGTTAAAGGATCACTATAGTGTCAGGAAAACAAAGCAGTTTTCCTGACACTATAGTGCCCTGAGGGTGCCCCCACCCTCAGCGTTCCCCTCCCGTGGCGCTGAAGGGGTTAAAACCCCTTCAGTTACTTACTTTTATCCAGCGCCAGGTGACCTCTCCTCCCTGTCCGACGTCACTGGAGTCGAATGCGCATGCGTGGCAAGTGCCGCGCATGCAAAGTGTCCTTAGGACTTTCTAAGCACCAAAACCACTTCACCTCAATGTTGCTGCTCTTTTTGTACATAAGATAAAACAGACAAGGTTGCAATGTTTACATTTCGCCAAAACCACCCCGACAGTGACTGTCAGACTGAGCCGCTAGAGCAACTTCCTCCTAAACAGCTTCAGTTCTGCATCAGAACACAAAGTGCGATAACACGTCCAGTGCTTGTCATTAGGAAGCAGAGAATTGGTGGAGAGCAGAGATTGCCACACATGTCCCTTGATATGTATCTTCTTAATGGAAATTTATGTATTTATTCACTTTATCTAATAAAGAAAAATATGTGTCTGTATTGCGTTGTTAATGATAGCGAGTTCCTTTCCAGCTTTCAGAGCATATCGTATCTTATTGCATCATTACAGCTTATTGTATCAGTGAATTTATTTTTACATAGAATTCTACAGCTCATTTTATCATTGCAGCTTATAGTAGTTGTGGTGCAACTTAACAGTCTTTGGGTACAATCCCTCCCGCCACTCTTGTGACAGGTGAAGCTAGCCAGTCTGCTGCCGATAACATGAGTAATTTCTCTTCCTAGGTACGGCCTATATTTGAGTGCTGGGGTGGCTTAGTTTAGTGACACACAAAAATCTGAACCTTCAGCACCCATCATTGTCCCCGTACCTGGTGGTAATACTCTTTCTAAAATTCTGGGGCACCCTGAAACACCTTACATTTCATGTCAGTCTTAGTAGATGACACAGTACTCAGTGTCAATAAATCAATGTCCTCCACAAGGCCCCGTTGACTGGGTTCGTATTAGATCCAGGAGAAGATTAGGAGTTGGCTGCCGTGTTAGGGAGTGCGTCCATGATGTGAGAATCTCAGAAGGAACCATAAAACATTTCTCTCCCACAACTGCAACGATATCCAGCTACTACATGCCGGTACAACCAGTAACTGGGGTCTGTGTGCTGGTTTTTAGATCATGTTCTTAGGACACATTGTTACAGCCAGAACAGTATTGGCAACGTGTAAGGACTGCAACCATGGTGGAATGTTCGAGATCTGTTTGTTCAACTGTGATTTATTTTTCAGTTGGTGAATAAAGACAGGAAAAACAAAAAAAAAATTAATTTCTTTTTTCGGTTTTGACACAACTAGTGCAGTTAGTTAAAAACCAAAATACCTCGAAACACCAATGTATTTTCCTGGACACTAGAAACCACATCAAATAATGTTTATTTTATAACAAAAAAAAAAAAAAAAACTACCACAACAAGAGGACATTAGAGGGACAAAGGTTTAAAAATAATATCAGGAAGTATTACTTTACTGAGAGGGTAGTGGATGCATGGAATAGCCTTCCAGCTGAAGTGGTAGAGGTTAACACAGTAAAGGAGTTTAAGCATGCGTGGGATAGGCATAAGGCTATCTAACTATAAGATAAGGCCAGGGACTAATGAAAGTATTTAGAAAATTGGGCAGACTAGATGGGCCGAATGGTTCTTATCTGCCGTCACATTCTATGTTTCTAAAACCTGGGTGCTGGTCACTTTTGTTAAGTAAAAGGATCCAATTAGAACCATTTCAGTTAAAGTTTAAGATAGTACTTTGATAAGACCACTATTCTACATGGAACACGTGGAGGGACACATCTTCCAAAACCAGACAGCTGGGTATTTCCACTGGGCCAATAATTTGGACAACAAAAGTCACAGGGTCAGAGTGGGCACTTCCATACCAGTGATAACTCATGATAGATTTTTAGCTTATGCTCACCAGGCCATTATTGTGTCTGCCCAGCCAGGATTCAGTCTCTAATCCCTGAAGGCCCAGCAAACAGCACATCTCTATGATTTGCCAGCCTGGGTACCTCTTTCATCGACCGGGGGTCTGTCCTAAATCAGTGGTCCATTGGATACATGAGGCCTAGCCAGGGCTAGTATAATAGAAAAAGAGTAAGCGCTAATTAACAATTAGGCAGCAACCCTAAAAATGGAAGTCCCTCTGAACCCTTTTAAAATAGAGAGAGAAAATGACAAAAAGAAAAATAAGGGCTGCGACAAATCCAGTAACAAGAGATAAAACAGTATACAACAAAATTGCAAAATTGTAAATCACAGTACAAAAAGTCCAAATGGAAGGATCTCAATTAGATCCAATGATTGGTAAAGTGCTTTGTTGAGAGTATCATCTTCAATGTCTTTATCCAGGTAAATCCACTTATATGAAAGACAAAAAATTGAGGGGAACCAATAGTGCAATATGTACAATCCAATATATTTACTAATATGGGAATAAACTCACATTTATGAGAGCAATAACTAGCTCTAGCGTGAAGGGCGTACAACGGTATAATCCATCAGGGGAATGTCCAACGCTCTGGTGAGGGGTAAAAAGACAACTGATAGTGCTCATTGTATTAAAATATCAGTATTAAATAAATAAAAATAGTACTCGCAAGTATAGAGCAGGCTAACTGCTCTTTGATGTTAGCGTTGGTGGTATGATCCCCACCTATATCTTGGAGTGCAGAATAATAAAATGCCAGGTAAAAAAATAAATCAGAGTGTATTTAAAAAGATGACTGGCACAAACAAGTGACCAAAAAAAACAAACCTTTATTTAGCTTTAAATTTGTACAACGCGTTTCGCCTACATGGCTTCTTCAAAATGGAATAAAACATTTAAACCCATACTGCCAGGTATCGTAGGAGTAAGAGTGATTAAAATTGGTTCCAAAACTGAGGACAGCCAATCACAATCAACATAATTAAATTCATAAAACAGATTAAAACCTATGTATATAGTAGATATTACAGTTACAGTGGTTCATATTATAGTGTGGTGAAAAAACAAGGCTTATGTATTAAGAAATAGATGTATAAGTGAAGTCAGGTGACTTGCGTGATTTTGCGCGTCATTAGCGCCTGGCTGCATGGGTAAATTGTTTCGGTAACAACGTCGGTACGAATATAGCGTCGGCCGGCGTGGTGATAGTCGGAACGGAGGTCTGGAGTAGTGAGGTCGGTGCGCCTATTTTCTTTTTGTCACTTTACAGCCAGGGTCTCTTTCCCTGAAGACCCAGCAAACAGCACTTCCATAAGGTGACTACCTGGATCTCTTCTATGTATTCCACCATATCCGGGATTATGACGAATGGCATATGGGGTACAGATGGAAGCCTATAGTTTAAACAGTTTAGGCTGTCAGTTGTTCAAATCCCCATTTTGCCACTGAAACACAGGGCTGCAGCTTTTTTGGGTAAGTGCATTAATAATTTAGATTAACGACTAGTATAGGTACCTGGGTCTCTGTTCTTTCAGTCCCTCCCAGCTGCTTACGGCAGGCTTCATTCACATTTAGGAGGTTGATGGAGAACATTTAGGTAAGTTTAAACATGCAGTGATTCATTTTACAAAATAGTTTTTTTTTGTTTTTTTTTAATAATAGAGTCTAATTCTCTACCAGACTCAGCCTTTTCTTACAGACAGATATTATTTGTGTTACCTGTAACTACAGGTAAGGAGCTCACAAGGCAAGATAAGGCAATGAGTATTCAGTCTTTAATAAATACACACATAGAAACATAGAAACATAGAATGTGACGGCAGATAAGAACCATTCGGCCCATCTAGTCTGCCCAATTTTCTAAATACTTTCATTAGTCCCTAGTCTTATCTTATAGTTAGGATAGCCTTATGCCTATCCCACGCATGCTTAAACTCCTTTACTGTGTTAACCTCTACCACTTCAGCTGGAAGGCTATTCCATGCATCCACTACCCTCTCAGTAAAGTAATACTTCCTGATATTATTTTTAAACCTTTGTCCCTCTAATTTAAGACTATGTCCTCTTGTTGTGGTAGTTTTTCTTCTTTTAAATATAGTCTCCTCCTTTACTGTGTTGATTCCCTTTATATATTTAAATGTTTCTATCATATCCCCCCTGTCTCGTCTTTCCTCCAAGCTATACATGTTAAGATCCTTTAACCTTTCCTGGTAAGTTTTATCCCAAATCCATGAACCAGTTTAGTAGCCCTTCTCTGAACCCTCTCTAAGGTATCAATATCCTTCTGAAGATACGGTCTCCAGTACTGTGTACAATACTCCAAGTGAGGTCTCACCGGTGTTCTGTATAATGGCATGAGCACTTCCCTCTTTCTACTGCTAATACCTCTCCCTATACAACCAAGCACTCTGCTAGCATTTCCTGCTGCTCTATTACATTGTCTGCCTACCTTTAAGTCATCAGAAATAATCACCCTAAATCCCTTTCCTCATATGTTGAGGTTAGGACGCTATCAAATATTCTGTACTCTGCCCTTGGGTTTTTACGTCCAAGATGCATTATCTTGCACTTATCCACATTAAATGTCAGTTGCCACAATTCTGACCATTTTTCTAGTTTACCTAAATCGTTTGTCATTTGGCTTATCCCTCCTGGAACATCAACCCTGTTACATATCTTGGTATCATCAGCAAAAAGACATACCTTACCATCAAGACCTTCTGCAATATCACTAATAAAAATATTAAAGAGAATGGGTCAAGTACAGATCCCTGAGGTACCCCACTAGTGACAAGTCCAAGCTTCGAATATATTCCATTAACTACAACCCTCTGTTGCCTGTCACTCAGCCACTGCCTTACCCATTTGAATCCAAACTTAAAGATTGCGGTTTATTGATAAGCCTTCTATGTGCAACAGTGTCAAAAGCCTTACTGAAATCTAGGTAAGCAATGTCTACTGCACCACCCTGATCTATAATTTTAGTTACCCAATCAAAAAAATCAATAAGATTTGTTTGGCATGATCTCCCTGAAGTAAACCCATGTTGTCTCTGATCTTGAAATCCATGTGTTTTTAGATGTTCATCAATCCTATCCTTTAACATGGTTTCCATCACTTTCCCCACTACTGAAGTAAGGCTTACTGGCCTATAGTTGCCCGACTCCTCCCTATTACCTTTCTTGTAAATGGGCACAACATTCGCTAACTTCCAATCTTCTGGGACTACTCCTGTTAACAATGATTGGTTAAATAAATCTGTTAATGGTTTTGCTAGTACACCACTAAGCTCTTTTAATAGCTTTGGGTGTATTCCATCAGGTCCCATTGACTTATTTGTCTTTACTTTTGACAGTTGAAATAGAACCTCTTCCTCTGTAAACTCACGTGTAATAAATGACTCATTTATCCTTTTTCTCAACTGAGGTCCCTTTCCTTCATTTTCTTCTGTAAATACAGAACAAAAATATTCATTGAGGCAGTCAGTCTGACCTTTATCCTCTTCTACATACCTTCCTTCTTTTGTTTTTAATCTAACTAATCCTTGTTTTACTTTTCTTTTCTCATTTATGTATCTAAAAAATGTTTTATCCCCCTTTTTTACTGACTGTGCTATTTTCTCTTCTGTGTGTGATTTGGAAGCTCTTATAACTTGCTTAGCCTCTTTCTGCCTAATCTTATAGATCATTTTGTCTCCCTCACTCTGGTTTTTTTTTTAATTCCTAAATGCTAACTTTTTGTTTTTAACTATTTTGGCCACATCTGTGGAGTACCACAGTGGTTTCTTGAATTTTTTGCTTTTACTGACCAGCCTAATGCAATTTTCTGTTGCCTTCAATAGAGCAACTTTTAAATAAACCCATTTCTCTTGGACTCCATTTAAATTGCTCCAGTCTGATAATGACTCCTCTACCCATATTCTAATTTTAGAAAAGTCTGTTTTTCTAAAGTCTAAAACTTTTGTTTTTGTGTGGTGTGACTCAGTCACTGTTCTTACATTAAACCACACTGACTGATGATCACTGGATCCTAAACTCCCTTTCCTCTAGCATATTTCCATTACCCTTCAAACATGCAACTGTAACCCCGATTCTAAAAAAGCCCAACTTTGACCACAACTCCCCGTCCAACTACCGCCCTATCTCACTACTGTCTTTTCCCTCCAAGATCCTTAAAGGTTGTGTATGCGAGATTTACAGACTTCGAGTCAAACTCTTTGCTCGACCCGCTTCAGTCTGGTTTCTAAGTCAAGCACTTTGTATAAACGGCTCTGACTAAAGTATCCAATGATTTAATCACTGCAAAGTCTCGTGGTCACTATTCTATCCTAAATCTCCTTGACCTTTCTGCTGCTTTTGACATGGTTGATCATCAAAAGCTTCTTCTCATCCTCCGTAAACTCTGTCTACGAGATATTGCTTTCTCCTGGTCCTCCTCCCCACTTTTATTTCTCTAGCGTTACCTCTCCTCCACAACCCCTCTCTGTTGGTGTACCACAAGGTTCATTTCTTGGTCCCCTACTGTTCTCGATCTATACTGACTCCCATTGTAAACTCATCAGCTTCTTTGGCTTTCAATATAATTTCTATGTAGATGACACGCATATCTGTCCTCTACTGAGTTCTCACCGCCCCTCTTGACTAGTGTCTGACTGCCTTTCTGCTATTTCTAACTAGATGGCTGTCCACCCCCTTAACCCCTTAAGGACCAAACTTCTGGAATAAAAGGGAATCATGACATGTCACACATGTCATGTGTCCTTAAGGGGTTAAACTCAACCTGTCCAAAACAGAACTTCTGGTCTTTCCTCCCTCAAGCTACTCCCGTTTCTGTCTTCCTCCAAGTCAACGGTGCTACCATCAGCTCCACCATGCAGGCTCACTGCCTAGGTGTTCTCTTTGATTACGACCTCTCCTTCACCCCTCATGTCCAGTGGATCGCCAAATCCTGCCCCTTTCATCTCAAAAACATTGCGCGCATCCACCCCTGCTTCATGCCAGATGTGGCTAAAGTGCTGGTCCATGCCACTGTCCTATCTTGCCTTGACTACTGCAATCCGCTTCTCAGTGGTTTTATGTGCTCCCAATTTGCTCCATTACAGTGTATAAGAAAATGCGACGGCTCAACTTCCTGTCTGTCCGCAACTCCCACCCCTCTGCCAGTTCCTACATTGGCTTCCTGTAAGATTTAGGGCTCGATTTAAAAATCACTTGCTTTCAAATCTCTACATAATGCTACTCCCACTTATCTATCCTCCCTAATACACAAGTATGTCCCGTCTAGGCCCTTATGCTCTGCCGAAGACCTACGTCCTACTTCTGATGCTCGACTTCTCTAGACACGGTTTCCCCTTCTCTGTTAGACTCCCTCCAGCATGTAAGCTCATTAAGCAGGGCCCCCATCACCCTCTGTTCCTGTGTGTCCAACCAGTCTGCTTACAATGTGTTTGTTAGTCCACCCATTGTACAGCACTGCAGAATTTGTTGACGCTATAAAAATTTATAATAATGTTGCAGGTGTGAAGCAACAGGCAGAGTTTATGAAGAGCCTTTGTTAGCCGACACTTTGTGGCCTTGTGCATTGGCTGGTGGCTTGTGGCCTCCGTGACTGCCTCTTTCTAGGTTTCCTGGTGGACTGCAGTAGTTGGGGCTAATATAAATTATGTCCCTGGAGTTATTACCCCATAAACAATTATTTGTTTTTACAATAGATTATGATTATATTATAAACAATGTCAAATCATCACATTTTAAATAGACATATGTCATACAAAACCCGGTACAGTTTATACAGTGTATTTTAAATATTTTATTCCATAACAAGAATAATTGAAATCTTACAATTCAGAGCATTAAAGTGAATCATTCATTTTGACCCGGGTCATCAAAAATAAATCCTGGGAGGTTTCAAAATATTTATTTTCCACCTTCCCATCACTAAAAGGCATACGGATATAACCTTAAATCCTACGCATGAACATGCACAGTTATTACCATATAAATCAGAATATTCATTTGAATATAATAGTGGCGTGTTGTGATTCAGAAAATCCCATCATTATTAATACACTTAAGTCCAATCTCCCCAAGTTTAAAACGATTGCTTGAAAAAAAATAAAAGTCAAATATGAAATAATTGACTAAACAAAAAACAAAAACAAAACTTAGCTTAACAGCTGCAAAGTGTAAATGGAGTAATTCCCCCATTTGTCAATTACCTATCTGTATATTACTACTAATCTGTAATATACTTTATGATAGTGATTGATATTATTGACATAAGAGAAATGCATGGAATGCTTTGGTTTTTAAAGGGACACTATAGGCACCCAGACCAAGCCATCTCATTAAAGTGAAATGGGTGCAGTGTCCGTATTGCACTTAGTGCTACAATGTAAAACATTGCCATTTCAGCGAAAGTATAATGTTTACATTGCAGTAGCAAGACTGCCTCTAGACTGCCGTCTGATTTCCTGTCCACTTTGCCATTTTTTGTAACATTCTTTACTTAGAAGCAGGAGAGGCTAATCATCCCACCATGACCAAGTCTTCTGCAGTGAAATGTGGATTTGTAGCCTCATTCTGTAGCGGTGTGGCGGCTTTTATTAGAAAAAGACTCTTTACGAATTGGAGTGAGTGCTGCCATTATGTGTAGTGAGTTTTGTAGTTTCACTTCCACATTAAAACAATATTTAAAGCACCCGAATTATTACACCTTAATGCAGGCTTCCCCAAATTCCGGCTTACCAGATGTTGCTGAACTACAACTCCCATGATTCTCAGCCTATTTCATTCATAGAGTCATGGGAGTTGTAGTTGAGCAACATTTGGAGGGACAGTTTGGGGAAGCCTGCCTTAATGA